ATCTCCTTTGGTCCTGACCTGTACCAAACCTGATTTCTCTCTCTTCTTATCTGTTCTCTGTCTCACCTTGTTTTAGTGCCCATCTCATGCAGTTCTTGGTCTTTCCAGGTCCTAGTCTCTGTCTTCCTTGGCCCTGGTCTCTGTCTCACCTGATCTCTTTCATTCTTGTCATTCTTCTTCCTCAAAAGTCTACTGGTCCAGCTCAGGCCAAGCTGTTTCTGAATGGACACCTGGTTCATCTGTCTCACCTGAGACAGTAGAAACTTGGGGACCTATCAAAGAGAACGAGACGTCATCGGGGGTTAGGGGCACCGAGACTATGCAGGTGTGTCCTGAAACTTACGGTCCAAAGCAAGTCCTGGTGAATGATCATCAGCCGGATCAGCTGAGCTCCACCCACCGCCTCCTCCATCTCATCTCGTTTAGCAATTGAGCGCTTGTTTCCATGGTGACGACGGAACAGGTTGGGTGCCATCACCATGGACACATTCCACAGAGACATACGGTTCTGATCCTGATGAGAGACCACCATACGGAGGAAGACCAGCAGAGCCTGGAACCACAAAAAACAGGTTTTCTTGCAACCATGTGTGATTTCTAAAAAAAAGTCTGTCATGGTCCTGGGTTGGTGACCCAGTGTTTCAGGTTTTGTACTTTTCTTTTTGATTTCATCAGGGTTCGTGACTATTAGGGTTTGGTTTCTGTTTCTTATTTCTAGATCTCTACTTCTTCTGGGTTTGTGATTTCTAGGTCTTCATGTTTCTTCTCTTGTTCCCCAGTCAGTCATGTCTCCTGTCTAGGCCCTGTCCTTATGTTCCCTCTGTACTGTGTCAGTATTATTGTGATGTCAAGCTCGTGTCTCTGAGTCCGTGTCTGTGTGTGCGTGGCGTATTTCCTGTTTTATTTTGATAGTCTGTCTCCTACCCCGGTGTATCTAGTTTTGCCTTCCTTCGTCGCATCATGTCTGATTTGTCCCAGCTGTGTTTCTTCCTGTTTCCTAATCCTCTCGTGATCCTACCTGTGTCTTTTAGTCCTCAGCCTACCCTTGCTTGTTGTTGGATGGTTAACCTAGCCTACTCTCTCTTTGTACTGTGTTTTCTCCCGTCATGTTTCGAGCCGTGTTTCCTAGTTTTCAGTGTCAGTTTAGTTTAGGTTTATGTTAGGGGTTTTGTTTTGTTTTGTTTTGTGAAGTTCTCTACTTTGATGAGTTGTTTTTCCCGGCGAATAAGCTTTAAGTTAACTTTCCGTCTGTGAGTACTGCACTTTGGTCCAGAATGCAATGATTTACAAATCTCATAAATCCATAATGTATTCATAATAGAAAACCATAACAATCACTGTAGCTCTGCAGTGATTCACTAGAAAATTGGCAACGTCCCTCAGCATCCATTGACCCTGCACAGTTGACTATGGAATATTTAGTAGCAGTATTAATTTTGTTGACTAATTTTTATTATATTTTTCATCAACAAACTTTTTTTCTAACAAAAACAAGACAATAACTGAATAAAAATGAATGAAAGGCATCGAAACGTTCGTCCACGAATAAAAACGAGATGAAAATGTTTCTTCTGAGACAAGGCAGGAAGTGAGCCAGAAGTGATAATCTTGTGCAGTAAGGTTAGACATTTGATCTGCCGCTGACAAACAGGGATAGAGACAGGGGTTCAGCTAACACCTAATCACCCTGTTCCTCATGAAAATGTGACAAAATGTCAATGTTTTGGAGGAAGAGTATTGTGGACATACATATGACACCTTAAGATTTGGTGACCTAAAGATTTAGTCTACTATAATCTAAAAATATATACTCACCTAAAACAAGACAAAAACAAAAATTAGGTGGCTAAATCTGGACTAAAACTAAATTATATTTTAGTGAAAAGACTAGGGATATACCTAATCTAAATCTGCTGTCAAATTAACACTTTAGCAGTTGGCATCTGATCATGGTACCATGCTAGAATTCACTGACCTCTTGAGAGCCCTTCTCTTCAACAAGTGTTTGTAGAAGCAGTCTGCATGCACAGGTGCTTGACTTTATTCACCTATGACCAAGGAGGTGATTGGAACACCTGAACTCAACGATTTGATGAGTGAGTGAATACCTTTGGCAATATAGTGTGTGTCTGTGTTTGTGTGTGTAGGTTTGGATAG